CTTTTATGTAGATATATTGAAGATCGTCGAGTAGGTCCAAGGCAAAGGAAGAAAATCTTTTTCTATCTCTATATGTTATTTTTCGTTGGAGGGCGCGATTTATAGCGTGGTGCAACGGCCCTCGCACGAAGAAAGACTCGTCGTCCTTTGCCTGATGTTGCTCGTTAATTTTCGTCGCACGTGTACCACCACTTTGATCGCGCGAGTATGCTAATTGTCGTTCGCCGCCCACACTCCCTTGCTCCTATAGATAAGAGATAAAAAGACAAGAAATATGCCGGATATTCTTTGCCATGACATTTGCCAGCAATGTCATTCGCTAAAGTAACTCAAATTATGATTTAAACGAAAATAAATAAATCCATCTCTTAGGTATTATTGACAACACAATTTTATCTTCTTTTAAGTAATCTTTGTTGAGTTTTTGTTTATTCCAATTTGATATTTTAATGTTGGAAAATATGATGATTATATCGATGAAGATCTCCCATTGATATAATAATAATAATAATAATAATAATCCATATAATCAAGCAACAAATTAACATTGATAATAAAAGTCTTAGTTTAAACGATAAAAGTTGTATGGTTCTGTATATATAAAAGATATAAAGAATACGCAATTACTAGATGAGAATTGCAAATGATAGAGATAGAGAATTAACGAAGTGGATGGATAAGAAGAAAGAACGATTATATACCAAAAACACATAAACTAAGAAGAGAGAGAGAGAGAGAGTTAAATAGAAGACGGGGAGGGTTGCTAGAAGAGAAGGAAATACTGAGAAAAGTACCGTAAAGATAGGTGGCGTACATACCAATGTAAATATGAGCGATCCATCCCGCACGATGTCGCAAACAGAGAAACTAGTACTCTATTTGATATCCCTGGGGCTCGAGGTCTGCACTTTCAGATTTACTGCGTGCGTGTATATGCCGACATGTGTACAGCACTACGTGAAAAGGAAGTGGTGGGGAGCTGAGCTGTGTTAGGGACCCTTATACAATGCTGTTCCCGTGAGGGAAGCGTTGCATCCCCTAATTAAGATTGGCCTTGTTTCAAGCGGCCCACGAAATGATTCGCTAATCTCTAGAGGCTGGATCCTACGATATATACATATAAACTCATATATCGTACATTCGTTTATATGAGTATTCGTTGGATGGTGTAGTACGTGTTCTTATACCAACCAATCTCTGTAAATCTCTACGAACACTTTATATTCTTCTTTCTTTACGCATATTAGTTTTGAATATTACGAGGTCATCGAGGCATTAAAAATACGCTTGCCTATAAAAAAGATATTCGTCGATTAATTTTCTTATCATTCTTGACTTTCCCCGCGAATAATGACTTTTTCAGATTTACCAGTCCGGTGTATGAATCTATTTCGATGAATACGATATTCCCATGACGCGAACTCCTCTAAAATCTGATATATATACAAAACTACAAACAAGTATTGCATGAAATATACAAAAATAAGATTAAATGTATTATATTTCAAATTTGTAGTATTTTAATTATAATTATTATTTCTAATCAAAACAATAGAAGAATATTTCCGTAGTAATAGAAATTAGTAAAATTTTCTCGACACATTGTGTACTTTAGTCGAACATCTTCGAAAGTCATAGTTAACTTCTCTAACAAGTGAGACTTTTTTGAGACATACCGAAGGCCTGAGGAAAACTAAAGGGTTGATCAGAATCATGGGGTTGATCCATGGACATGGTTGTTAGAGAGTGTAATCGATACTAATTAGCATTGTACAAAGTTACGTTCGTACGATGGCCGGCGGCGATTCGCATCATAAACGCACGCGTTTCAACCCCTTCTCTTTCTCTCTCTCTCTCTCTCTCTCTCTCTCTCTCTCTTCATCCACCTAACATACCTAGCTGCCTATCTACCTACCTACCTACCTACCTATCCCACTTATAGCTTTTAATACTAAATATAGTATACACGATTGTACATCGTATTGTAGGCTTTTGAGGATTTATCCCTCCATTATACTGCCGCTGGTGAATGTTCCCGACGTAAATGGGCCCTATCGCTGTCACGTGGACAAAGCGCTGACCGACGTGGTTATGACGGCAACGCGATACCCCTTTAAGTAATAATAATAATCGCGGCGGTAATGGTTGTGCCTCGATATACCTATGTGTATGTGAGTTCTCTCGTTTTCAATGCTTCTCGCTTTCTCTCATTCCCAAATCCCCTATTCCACCCCCGCAAATAAGGACTACCTACCCCTTTCCCCATACCAATACTACTAACCTTCATCATCGTCGTTATAGTCGGACGACGCGACGCATCATCGGATCTGAATATGGATTCTTTTCTTTTCTACGGACTCTTTGTCGAGTTATTATTCGCCCTCGTATCCTTCCCCGCCACTGCCGTCGTCACCGAGAACGAACGAGCAACGAGCCTTATTCCCTAACCGTCTCGACTTACCCTTGGCCTTACCCTTCGATAAAAGCCCGGTACTCTCGCGTGTATCCGCGTTTCTCGACTCCGACGAAATCGCGAGACTCCTTTAAAGGAGTCGTCTCAATCCAAATATTCCTTTTCAATTACTTCATTTTCAATGAATCTCCAAAATAGCAATTAAACGATCACGTGATATTCGTCACGATATTTTTTAATCCAACACATGATCGATTAATACGTATTTTATTATTATTAAATAATGCTTTTAGTAAATTAAAAATTATATCAAATTTCATGTATAAATGTCATATATAGGATGATATTAATTAAAATGTTTCACTAGTTTCAACAAGTTCTACAATATACATTTTTAATATTGTTTTTCTTAACATCAAGTTATATAAAATTAACTGTGATTAATATTATATTGTAAATTATTATATTATATTATTCCGTCCGTATATCTTACTGAAAAATATACCTTTTGAAATAATAAATGAATAATTTGACGTTAACGATGAAATTATTTTGATAAAAAATCCTACCGATTGTATTTTAGTCCTTGGAACTTTAGTTTGGACTGCAATGCTAACACAAACTTTAATTAATTTTTGTTGGGGTCTAAAAACGATCCCCTCTTAATAGTCAAGGGTTAATATATACGAGTTTAGGAGCGAAGTCAAGCCGAATATATATCTTGGCGATGAAGGGCGATCGAGTAATACACAGAACATCACCCTCGAAACGTTCGATGAGTCACGACGATCGACCAGGTCGGCAGGATCCTTCGAAGGCTTTACAATTTCTCGTAACGCGTTACGTCTTCGATTTTACGGTCGAGGCTTTAGTTCTTTTTCACTTTAATGGCCCGCAGCGAGTTTTCCTCTTCGGCATTTCTCGACCATATTGGATACAAGATTTGTCCCTTTAACTAATGTACGCGATCAATGTATCCGTTTTTCCACGACTACATTTACATTTACAGGTCGTCTTTACAAGAATTTTAAACAAATTTCAATAAATTATGTCTCAACTATACTGAGAAATTAGATTTAGATGGAAATATATAGAAACTTTAACACATATGGCGTATCTTTGCAACTTCAAATAAACTATCAAAAATTTTGAGTAACATCCTATATGATTACAAACCCACAAAAGAAAATATTCCTATCTATACTATTGCTTTTCGTATGATTTAACAACGAAGTGTAATACAAACATATACATATTTATTCATAGAACCGATTTCATCATATTCGAGACGTCTACTATTATGCTCTTTCTCTCTTTCTCGCGTATCGATTGCAATATCGTGAACGCGCACCCATATCATTCTCCTCTCCTCCCTAATTCTTCCTATCGTCATTGAGGAAGGGTGCTGCCACCTAAATCGGTTATTTGAGCGTAGGCTCAGCTCGACTGTAAACACGGTGCATGAATTCTCACAACACAAGACGGATAACCTATCGTCTTGACAATGATTCAACTGCAAATTTAACCTCTTTCCAAACGATCTTTCTCGAAATAGTAAAAGGGAAAGAGATGCCCTTACTATCTTACTCTCTCTCTCTCTCTTTCTTTCTCTCTGTCGGTTTTTCGAGGTCCATGTATGTACTCGGAAAATACACAAGAGATAACACGTTGAAGATAGAGGCCGAGACACGCGAAGCAGTGTGTAGACCATAAAGACAACGTGGACTCCTGGAAGGGTCGTAAACCGTCGTTACCAAACAAACCCCGAAATAGTCGAAGCGTATGAAAAGTTGGGAATCTCATAGAGGTGGATGATACCTAAAAGGAGAGGCCTTTAAAGCGTGAAAAGTATTTCTTCGTTCGAAAGCAAACAAACGATAACATGATACCAACTGCCGATGTCTTCTAAGGATCCCATATTTCTTTTTTTCTTTCTAGAAAGAAATTCAAAACCTTGTCTATTTTTCCTCGATTACAAAACCAGCATTGTCGACGGTCACGGTCATGGTCACGGTCACGGTCACGATGCGTCCATTCGAGTCACTCCATAGAATGGTCCTTGACCGATCCATCGTGTTAGTTAGTTCTTCATATTTCGTCTATTTAATTCGTGATTTTATAAGAAGGAAAAGATAAAATGTCTCGAGGACACAAATAATTCCTTTCTTCGAAAAATCCTTATCTCTAAGGTTTGTCTCTCTGCAACAAATAAAATTGTATAAATAACACCTTTAGAGAGAATAATATAATGATAGGAAAGAGATAAGATATTTTTAAAGTTTTATTTTTTTTCACTTCAAAAAAGATAAAATAAAGGAGAGCAATCAAACAACATGGCAAGGTTCTGTGTTTTCTTTCTTCCCCTCTCCATCTCTTTTTCCCCTCTTTTCAAATCAGAACACAAGAGGTCTTCCACCCTCTATAATTTTCACTCGGGATACCTGCTCTAATTATAGGTACTTCAGCGAAAGATGCCGCAGTAGGCGTTTTTCTTCTTCTGGTAGCGCGCAAAGACAAGAAATATGTGTGTACGATGAAAAAAAAGATGAGCGATCTCTCTTCCTACTCAGTGTTCCTCTTTTTTCAGGTATTTGGGATTGGAACCTCGCTTGAGTGGATCGGTCCAGAGTGTTGGAGGCGGTGCCGATGGTGCAGACGGACAACAGGGTTTGGGTATCGCTGGCGCAGGTGTGATCGGTCCTGCTAGTGCCGAAAGAAATTGCAAAAGTGTCCACCTCAGTGTCAAGCAACAACAAATTTGCTCGCGTTCACCACCAGTCCTTCAAGTACGTTATTACGTAAACGACTAATAACGTTTAACTTGCCATTAATTGACCGTCGATATCGACGTTTCATCACGAATCAAAAATTGAATTTAATGTATGAAATTGTGGGGTATGAATTTAATTTAAAAAATAATTATTATTACCTTTTTTTCCTACTACAATCTTTTTATCTTTTTTCTTTTTAACTTATAATATTAAAATCGATAAAAAATAGAATTATTATTACTATTTTTCAAAATAACTGCTCACTTGATACTGAAAAGATAATAAATACCTGTGTTATAGGTAAAAAATTTCATTTTTAATTATCTGACGAATAATTATACCTTTATTATATATATATGTATATGTGTAAACATAAATTTGATATATTTTGGATAAAATAATTTATATATATCTTGTTTTTTTTTTCTTAATGCAACGAAAAGAACAGCGCTAAGAGATTTTAACGAGTTTTTAATGGTCAATCAAGCAGTTCGATACAAAGCAACGCGTGATTATTATTTTCAAGCTGGAAAGGGATCGTCAAGACCTTATCTTAAAGCAAAGATTTATGTCTTACGTGAATAATTAATATAAAAGTGATAAATTTCAATAAAATAATAATAATCACATTAAAATAAATATATGAATAAGAGTAAAAAAATATCAATTGCACATTTAGTAGGATCTTTTAATTCTGTCAAATTTCACTTAAAAAAAATCCTTTGATTATTATAACCATTACATTAATTAAATTAAAACGTGCAATTATGAGTTTATACATTCAATAACTAGAAATTTATATATGATAAATACAAATACGTGTCCAGTATCACAATATCTAACATACGCAATTGCTGAATTTATGTCGAATTGATTGAACAGTACAATGACAACGTAATTATTTGAAAGTATGTATTAAACTTAAAATCATGAGAGAGTGAAAGAGAACAATCTCTCACCGATCATGCTGGGAAAGTATCGGCCTAGCTGTTTCGATTTCATGCGTTACGAAATGGAGAAGGGTCGGAAAGATGAATACGACGAGCGAGTTTCCAAACGTTAAACCGAGTACAAATGATGGTCGTCTCTGTTAAAAGAATTACACGGCGAGTTATTCGAAAGAAAAAGACAAGAGAGATAGAAAGATACTTCTTGTTTTCGTTGCACCGTAAAACTGCTGCTGGTGAACTCACCTGGATCACGGTGAAACACGGCTTTACATTCCCAAAAATCGCGTTTACCTTTCTCTAATGCACAAATCCTGTCGGATGACCTAAAGGTGGAAGAAGAAGGTGGTTAGCAGAGGTGATGATGGTCGACCGACTAGGAACCGGTGCCTAGGTAAACTTGAGACTCGATATTTCTTTGAACGTTGCCGACCATCCCGGTTTTCCCAGACTGACTGCCGACATTCAAGTCTCGCTCGAAGTTACCGACAAAAGACACCGACATGAATATTCATTCATCAAATAGGACACACCTATGACCGTCTCTCTTCTTTCTCCTCGTAGTACCTTCATTTTTCTTATCCATTGGTTTTTTATTGTTTCGATCACGAAATCAAAGGATTACAATTTTTAAAAGAGAAATAATTAACTGATGGATTCATATTCTAATACTGATGCTCGGAAATTTGCTGAAATGAGAGATTCATTTGCGCTATTATTTTTGCTGTGTTAATAAAATTTACAAATAACAAGTATATAATATAATAATATTATATATATATAATTATTATATTTATATAATAATAATTTGTTGTATACCTTGTACAAATATTATGTGTATATTTAAATGGATGCTTATGTACGAGCGATTGGTATCTTGCTCCAAATATGTCGAAGCTCACCTACTTAAATTTCCACAGGCGGTAAGTGCAGGCACAAGATTGGCAATCGAAGAATGTCAGCACCAATTCCGGTCAGCAAGATGGAATTGCTCAGTCAGTCCAGACAATCCGGACAATATTTTTGGTGGTGTCATGCTAGTCAGTGAGTACTGATTATAACTTTTCAATAGAATGCGTCATTATACCCATATAATAAATATATATAAATCAATGACTGATTTCCGGCTTTGACGATAACATATATATAAATATCACATAATTATTATCATGCATGTACCATATGTAAACATTTTAAAGATAAATATTTATAGGAAAATTAGATCAATTGCTTATCAATGTATTGGCATTGAAACAATTCAAAAACAATAAAAATAATCATTTGAATTCACAGATAGTCGAGAAGCTGCATTCGTTTACGCGATATCAGCAGCTGGAATCGCTTACAGTGTAACTAGAGCATGTTCAAGGGGCGAACTGACAGATTGTTCCTGCGACAATCGAATTAGGACGCGCCGACCGAATAACTGGCAATGGGGTGGCTGTAGTGAGGTCAGTATATCTCTCTCTTCTTATCTAATTGACTGTTCAGAGAACGATTAAATACTTAAATGGTATTTGACTATAATTGACACAAATTCATCATACGAATTCTTAATTAATCGATGCGTATTTGTCTACAAAAAAAAACTACATAACAACGCTTTCGTCAGCAAATTCGGAGAATTGAGTTCGATCGGCGATGTAAGGTTTCCTTGAAAGAAAGTTTCACTCAATATTCCCGTTGAGTATCATTCTTTCTGATATCTTTTTCCTTTTTTAAAATTAATATTATTTATCAATACAGTATTTCCAGCCGAAAAACGGTGATGCTCCAGTGTAATGAGTCGAAAGTAAAGGTTTCTTTTTACTCTTTTCAAATATTTCTCCTTATAGTTCTTCTTCTTTATACCCGTTACTTGCTAAACTAATCGCCTTTTACTTTTATCTGCGAAACAAAGGAAAAAATAAACGCGTTTTTTATAGCGAACAAAAGCTGGTAATACGAAATAAAATCTAGTTAGGACGGTCTAACGAACTAGAAATTGAAAAAAAAGAAGAAAGAAACTAAAAATACAACGAAAACGAATTTCGTTCCCCATCTTTCGTAACTGCTAGGTTATACCATTGTAGGGGGATTAGATAAGCTACTTTTTAAGGATTACTTTCCCTCGCCCCGTTACTTTCGATACCTCCGGAAGCCCCCAAAGTAGTGTACCTCGTAAATTAAGGTTAAGAAAGTAGTGTAAACTAACCACGGTGGACTTTCAAAACACGATTCTAAAGTTTTTTCAAACGTGAGTTTATACAGGGATGTTTCATTAACTCTTTCGTTACGAGCGGTGACTATGATCACCCAACGCCTGACGCTTGCAATGTACACTTTGTGCATATCTTTAAAACTGTCCATACGAAATTACATTATTAAAAGTTATGTGTATTTTCTAATTGCATTATGTGATAATTCTTACAGACGATTACAGATGTTTCGTAAGTGCACACTTTTGATGAGGCGCCGAAAAATCGGTCCGTAACGAAAGGGTTAATCGTTATAATCAATTAATCGTACCATTGTACACATGGAATGTATTACAATGTGATAATACTTCTCTCAGGGTCTTGATCGGTGCATAAACCAAATGTTAAGTATTGCACTTGCTATTTATTGTTAGTACAAACCAAGTTCTTGTATGTCTATCGCAAGGAGAACTAGCCAAATTTGTCTAAACCGGTTCGATACTCCTGTCTCGATACACTAGCTCAGAAAGTTGAACTTCGTTGAATGATCCTGAAGAGACTACTTTAGTACGTAGCTTCGAAAAATAAAATGATTTTTAGAAATTTGTTTTCTCACGAATATTACTTAACACTTACAATTAGAGATAATTTAGTCACATTGCACACTATTTCGTCAGTCCAAATATATGAATTTCTTTGAAATTTTAATTCTGTTGAATCGCCCAAACTAATATAAATACAAAATTTATAAAATATACTTTAAGAAAGTAAAGGATTTAAAAGAAAAGGCGAAAATAGTAAATTTATTTTTCTACGCTTAAGCATTTCCTATTTTGATATACTCGGATATATGCAGCAATGATCATTCAAGGAGAGCGAGAAAAAGAAAGAGTAAGAGGTTAAAGATAAAGAGGGTAGAGCGCTACCGTCTCGACCTCCCTCTCTAAGCGCGTAAACCTTAACCCTGGTCGAAGACAAAGCTTGTTCTCTAAACGGATGCATTTCGTGCGAACGGCTGACCCCTTGTAGACTTTGCAAGCTTACAACGGGATTAAGGGGGTTAAGCTTGTTAACTTGCAACAATCCGCCGCCGCGCCGACCCCTTTCTCGTTCGTTCTTCGCTCTCCACATGGGCGCAGTGCAACACAGAGAACGATAGCGATGCTAGTGCGATTGCGATGACGATAGCGTTGCCATTGCCGTTGCCGTTGGTAGTAGTATATTGGTGACAGTGTCGGTGGTGATGTCAAGGAGCTCATCGCGTTTCCTCCAGGATTACCATCAAGAGATATGATCGTCCATTTCTCCATTTTCGTTCTCTGCTAGATTCTCGCCGTCTTTGAGCTCCCCTTAACGAGCCAGATCCCATAGGACAGATGTCTTGGGCAAGCGAGCCGACAGATTTTCAAGATAACGATGTTTGTTTTCCAACCTTGTCTTCCTTCCTTCCTTCCTTCCTTCCTTCCAGCGAACAAGCAAGCAGCAGGATTCATCGACCGAAAATATTGCTGGCGTATAATTTCGTCTTGACGTAAGAAATTTCGTTGAGATACGCAAAGGTTGCGTCAGGGTATTAATTAAAAGTCGATTAAACACTCGTTAACAAAGATTTCTAAATTTATCCCATTTTTATGTGCACATGTGTCTACGTAGATCGCTTTACTTATTCTTTAGGACATACATTTTGGGGACAAGTTCTCTAGAGAATGGACGGATGGTGCTGAAGAACCAATGAAGGAAGGAATTACGAATAACGTTAAAGGATTAGCCGGTCAACTGATGAGGAAACACGACAGCGAGGCAGGCAGACGGGCTATCCGTTCGAAAATGAAACGTATTTGCAAATGTCATGGTAAGTTATACCACTTCTAAGCTTAAATACCCTAAATTTATCTGATCAAGTTTTGGTAATAAAAGAGAAAATAAAAGTACGTCATTTTTAAAGAAACATTCTCTCTATAAGTTATATTATCTTATAAAATCTATAAAATATCTTTAATATTTTGAATGAGTATCGTTAATAGATTAAAAATTCGTAGGCATGTCCGGTTCATGCAGTGTTCGCGTATGCTGGAGGAGACTTCCAGCATTCAGAGAGGCCGGGACAGATCTTGCAGCTCTTCACGATGGGGCAGCATTGGTACGACTGTCTCAACGAGGCGGCAGAAGACCCGCAAGACTGAGGCCCGCGCAACCTGATCTCAAACGACCGAACAAGACGGATCTAGTCTACCTGGACGATAGTCCTGATTATTGTGAAAGAAACATCACGTATGTTTTTATATCCATTAACACAAAAACGTCTTACACACAAATGTCTTTTATCAGCTTAGAAAATTATACAAAATAAAGAGAAAAATAAGCAAGTAGATTGAACGTTGGGCTGATCGTAGGTTGGGCATTCCTGGAACGAGAGGAAGAATCTGCAACCGAACATCACCGGGACTCGATGGTTGCCGGTTATTGTGCTGCGGTCGAGGTTATCAGACAAGGGTACGGGACGTCACGGAAAAATGCAGTTGCCGATTCGTCTGGTGCTGTCACGTGAAGTGCGAACTCTGCAGACAGAGGCGCGAGGAACATATTTGCAATTAGAGAAGAGATAGACTGTTGTCGCACGACTCATGCCATGTGACGTTATTCTTTTCGATGAGAAAGGCCATCGATTTCGGGGTAGATTGATGTGCCCGCGAACTAGTTCGTTTGTTCTTATCGCTCAATTTTCCGTAGCGTTGATAAAAGGAAAAAAGAAAGAAATATACCAATATCCGCCGCGAGAGGCTAGAAAAAAAAGAAAAAATAACGATATACGACGTATTGAGAGGAAACATGACAAAGAAGATGAAGAAAAAAGCATTCTGTACCTGACAGTCAGAGTGTCGTAAATAATCCACTCTTCGGCAACGTTTATTTAAGTTTAGTTATCTATAATTTCGGATACTCAGGGTAATACGCTTTGTCCGCGCTTCTCTCGTATGATAGAAAAACCCATCGATAGCGTGCGCGAGGGCAAGCGGATCCCTCGAGTTTCAGTATTAATAATGATATAGGTATGTCAGGCGACGACATAGATATATGTATACCCTCGTTGGAGTTACGAACACGTGGCTCGTTATGCTAGTCTGGCTCTCAGGTGCAGCGTTAACCGCGTGGATATTGACAACTGAACATTGAAAAAGTTTATACAACTGTCGCTCAAAGAACAGAAGACGATGATTGTTTTTTCAAAATCTTTTTTCAAAATCTTTTTTCAAAATCTTTTTTCAAAATCTTCTTTTGTATAGAATATCCCATTTGAAATCAAAACCAAAAATATAAATATTTCTATTGGATAGTGGGATGTTACAGAACGAAATTGCACTGTTCGTAGGAAGAAATACAATAAAACAATTTCTTTTTCTTTTCAAAAACATTTCTTGAGATATCAAGATCGTTAATACTTTTTTACGTGGAGTTACGTTTTTATTTTATTTTTTTTGATATTATAATAATAATATAATAAAGCTCATAAGGAAATACTATTTTATTTAACGTTAAAATGATTTTCAACAAAACTAACGTTTGAACAAAAAATTATGTGAAAATCTTAAACTTACACGTATTAGTCTAATATCGTTTAATATACTATTATTTATGTTTAGATTTGAGATGACACAATATGATCTTAAAAATATGTAATTGTAACTGAAACAAATAAGCTTAAGACTTTTTGGTTTTATTTAAGCATGATTTTCTCACTCTAAGTCATTTTCAAATCAAAAGAGAATACCCATTGAATTTGTTTGGTAACGAACTATCGTATATAGTAACACTAATATACCATTCTATCTAAAAAAACACAATAATTTAAGTACTTCAAAAAAATGACTTAGAAATAATAAAATTCATATCATTATATATTTCCTTCCAAACAATGTAACGTTGCTCTGTGACATTTTTGTATTTTAATCAATTTTAAGAAATTAATTAAATATTCTACTTTAAATGGGACATTCTGTATACTCTTGATGATACTTCCGATTATAAGGAGATATATATATGTATGCCTGTACTACTGCATTGACTGTATGCATTATTATTATAATGAGTATTTGAAATATTCAGATACTTTTTTGATATCGAGTAACTTTTTTTAACTAAATAAATAATAATCAATATTCTGTATGAAGTATGTTAAAGAAGAAAATATGACTAGCTTTAGCAATAAAAGCTTTAGCTTTGGCTTATTGCTTGTAACGACAGAAGAAAAGTAAGTTATATTATAAAGTATATTTATAAAAATTAAACATATACATTTTATAGGTAAAATTGTCGAAAGATTTCTTAAACTTTAATGATATATTGTGTTTTGCAAGACAAAAGTAATTTTAAAGATCTTTGGATGAAATATATATAATTGCTATTGCATTTACAAAGATATCTACAATTTACATTTATGACTTATTAGAACTTTGAAAAAGCTTACTTTATATTTCTTGTCACAATTACGACTAATCACTGTAACATACTTTATACAAACATTGATTTCTTAGTACATTCAATACATTTTAATCAATCTAGAAAAAATTATTCAATTATAAAAATTGTCCAAAAAATGTCTACAACTATGAAGCATATCAGAGCTCTTGTATTACCATATTGAACGATGAACCGTCCTGGTATGCTCGTCCAATGATACATACCTTGAATAATAGTGACTGTTACCACCTTAGTGTTAAAAGCTTGAAATATTCTAATTAGATTGCAATATCCACGTGCAAGATGAAAGAGAGAGAGAAAAATACAGAAATTCAGAAAATGATAAAAGAAAAAAAGAGAATACTCGCATATTCGTACACTATAGTGTGTCTTATCCATTAAATTAAAGAAAAAAAGGTAAAAAAAAGAATAAAATAAAAAGATCTCTGAAAGTATAGGTATCTTAATATATGCCAATGCTCTCTAACACTTAGAATTTTGTCTTTACATAAAAATAAGAATAATCGTAATGCTCGCTGCCGCATTCGGCATAAAAGGTACAATCGTATGTAGATACCTTTTGAATGAAGAATATGATAAAATTGGTAGATTTATAGATATGAAATGCGAAATGTCCATATCGTTCATGTTTGAAAGAGAAGAAAGACAAATCGTTGATATCTATCGTGTTGTCACCGTTAATTCTCTTTTCGAAACGCTCGAAACACTTGTAACGAGAAGAGGAATCTACCAATGAATGAATGTAAATACTATCTTATCGTATTTAGCTTTTACGTCCAGAAATCCGTGTAACTGTATATACGTAAATATAATTACCGCATTTCCGAATCCTGCCCAAGCACGAAACGAACATGTTTTACGAACAAAAAACACGTAAGCACACATCACAGTAAAGAGAATATATAAGTAGTGATGAACATACAATATAGTTTCACTTACAAATTACCAAGTAATTCAATCATCGTAGAGTTTCAAATCGACTTATGGAAATCAAAAATTTTTGAAAATTGTATTTTTCAAAGTAAAAAATGGACTATGAAACCATTCTGAATTTTAAATTATATTCGAAACTACTGGACATAAGAAAAATACTTATTATAGCTTAAGTGAATCTACAAATCTTGGAGAATTATAATACATGGTAATTAAATGCACAGGAAATGCAACATCAAAAAATCTAGAAATAATGCAATCTGGAACAGGTTCTGAACTACTTTTTATATGAGGAAACATTTAACAAATATCGTGTGTAGCAATTTATCAGTTAATCTAATTGAATTAGAGAACAATCTTTGCCAAACCATTATTGCAAACCATTATTGAATTCTCCAAGATTTGTAGATTAGTTTAAGCTGTAATAAATATGCCTCTCACTTCCAACAATGTTTGAATATCATTTTAAATCACGGACGTTCCCGTGTTCCACTTTCATTGTATAATACTTACAATGTAGACAAGTAATTTTTATGTAACAATTATTAATTACTTCTTAATGATTTCTTTGTGATATTCAATATGATTGACTCTTAATGTCAATTGAAAATCAAGCTATTCACATAAGCTTTTTATTTCTAATAATTTTTAATTGTTTTTGGTACATACTCCGAGTGATTTGAAACTTTTGTCATGCATATAATTTCAAGTGATTGATATGCACATCATTAAATATAAAACAACATAAAATTGCCACTTTTGTAATGAATACTTTAGTTCGATTGTATTATTATTATTCACTCCGAATCGAGAACATCTTTCTATCTGTACAGCTTCGATCTCATTTTACAGGTTAATTTAAAAAAAAAAAAACAGAAAGTGCAAAGGATTGATCCTTGTTTGAGTTAAAATTATGAATTCTATTATTGATTTTTATTTAACATAACATTACTTTGTATACTTTTTTTATTTCACAGTAGACAATTAAAAGATTGTATAACCAAAGAGAGAACGATAAACCTTTGGTTAAAATTGTGTCTCTAAGCGTACGCACACGCGAATTCTCAGTGTTGATATGAAGCACTGTTAAATAACAAGTGACTACTAGTACTCGTATATGATAAAAAGTTAAGAAGCAATTGGTGAGACAATTTTTATACGATTGAAAAAAAATATACTCAACAGTTTAACCACGAGCAAAGGAAAGTCTATTAAGCTTGAGAAATTTCACATTTCTTACATTTGTAACTACTTTAATGTATTTTATCTGTTATAATGCTAGAAACTAAAATTGAAGAAGAAAAAAAAATAAATTGAATGAAAACGTCGATCCATATGCAACAGTAAACATCAACAACGTCAAAATCGTTTTCCCTTTTATAAAAAAAAAAGTGAAAAAATAAAAATAAGAAAAAACAAAACAAACAGAAACAACCTAATTGTTAATTTTAATTAGGACTGCGATTTTAATAATACGTTTATACTAGATACCTCTATTCGTCCGTATGTTTATAAGACTATCATAAAAAGCGTAGACGAACGAGAAACTCGTTACTGTGCACACTGTTGTCACACAGAACCGCAGAGTATTGAGAAATTTGTATAATTTATTTTTCCTTATGATAATATATTGCATTATATTCTTAGCTTTTCTAAAATCACTAATTAAACAACTTCTCGTAAATGGTTAGGCCTCTCTCTCTGTTAGAAATGAGATATACCATAGTTCGTAACATTTGTATATGTATGTACCTGTAATCCATGTGCATTTATATAAATACATATGCGACAAAGCGTCTATTATGTGTCTTGCAATCGATTTATACAAGGCATATACTTTCGATGCTTAAAAGATATCTTATCGTTCGTATCTTCCCTTTGATTTGCGCATTTTCTCCGATATTATAATGTATCGCAATAAAAAACCAACTCCAGCCAATAAAACACCAATGACGGCTCCCGTGCAAAGACCGAGGAAGAATTGGAAATCCTCGTAGAAGGTGCTTACGCCCTTAGGTGCAACGAGGAACTTATCGCTATCGCTTTTTGTTCTGGCAATGTAACGAAGCCAGTAAACCAATCTATCTGATGCTGGATTTAATCTATCACGTATCGCTACGGAAATTCTTCTAGCATTTTCACGATAATCCGTTGACGAATAAATGGTATTAATGAGACTAATGATATCTTTCATATCATCGCTCAAGCGTGCGAAACCTAATTCGACTGCACGGACGCTATTTTTAGATTCCTGTGCATTTCTTGGAAAACATATTACCGGAGAACCATGGAAAGCAATTTCCAAAAGTTCGATATCTGCACAATGACTCAAAACCACACGTGTCCGACCATTACCTATAAATTAATAATTTCCGAATTTTTATTTTCCATTGTTAATATAAATTATTTTTTAAATATTCATTATACCTATGAGATCTTGTCTATCGACGTTTTTCCAGAGATAAAGATTTACTGGAAATTCTTCCTCGCTATTAGTAACAGACTCGCGAACTTTCCATACCACTACATGACCTTGTCTACCTTGCGGCAACTTCTGCGCTATCTCTTTTACCAATGATTTATAATGTCCATCCAAAAGAACAACAACAGAACCGAGTCTATGTTCAATAAGTAACTTATGAAGCTCTTCTGGTAGAGGCTGTGGTCCTCTACAGTGATGACATCCAATCTACAGCAACATAATTTTGATAAAACTTTATAATCGGAATGAAGTGCATATATATATATATAAATGTAACATTCAATTTTATTCACCTCGACTAACATTTGTGTCAAGGAAGCAAAATCCATTCGCAAAATATTATCTGTACTCCAAAATACTAAACGTACATCGGAATAAAGATTATTTTGACTGATCTGTAAATTTGGTAAATGTTTCTTAACTAAATCAAAAGCTGGTGTTACATAATTGTTTTCAATATTAGCAGATATAGATCTCCATGCTAGATTGGTAGACATTCTAGACCAGAAAGCACCCTTTAAAATTGGCAAAGCAACACCAGTACGTTCAAAAGCGTAAACTTCTTCATAGGCGTTTCTGGTTAATATTATAGGTATCGACTCAATGGATTTAATCCATGGTAACAAGCATCCATCATGTCTAAAAATGTAATCATTCGATGAAAAAAATTACATTCTATAAAACAAAAAAGAAAACAACAATTTGACAATTAACCTCAAGGCAGGGACCAATGTGATCGTTGCTTGTAATTCCTGTACTTTTCGCGATAATTCCTGATCCTTGAGCAAACTCTCACAAAATTTCAAGGCATGATCTTCTGGATAAACAAGCTTCTCGAGAGATGCCTTTAACTGATAAACTTCGACATCGATGAGATTCTCATACAGATCATTAGCAATCTGTTCGGGTATGATCAATGTCACGTCGATTCCTTGATCCGAGAGTGTATTTGCAAGCAAAGAAAGATCATAAGCATCTTCAAATCCAACCATCAATACCGACAAGGGTGGTGCCGTTAAACTTGAACCATGAATAAAATTGACTAACATGGATAAATAAGTATATATGTACATTAAAATAAACATCTTTGAAGGTATTTTAAATGACAGATTTCGAAAATTTCTTTATATTCACAATTTATCCAAACACTATATATAAATCAAGTCTTTTTCTTCGAATGGTCTGGGTATGAAGACGCCATTAACGACGCATCGCACAGCAAAATGTATATTCTGTAGGCGCAATGATACAATTACTTGACGGCGTAGGAATACAATCGCAGAAATGTGATAAAACCATCGCTTTGCGTAGGAGAACCGTTTAAAAAAAGGCCAAAAAGAAATCACATTAAGGCTGTCTTAATGCGCACCTTGTATATCTTTTCTATTTTAAATATATACATTCAGATGATTTGAAGTATATCTATCTGCTGTAATCTTCCTTTTGTATAATTTACACGACACCGTTCTTCTTTAAAAAGAAAAATTATTTTTAATATTCTACGCATGACGGCTGTTGTTTTCTTCATATTTGTCACGTTCAAATTCTATTTGTGTTTCTTTTCGAATGATTAATATTGTTTCAAGATTTGTCTTCACGTCCATCAAGGTACTCGTAAACAAGATCATATCGTTTACTTGACTTTTCATACAATGATGTTGACGCTATAGGGATAACGAAAAGTCCCTAACATGTTCGCGAGTAGCGACAGCTCGAGGTAGCGTCTCGAAGCATTATCGATACCTCGCAAGGATCGATGTCCTAGGGGAAAAAACTCGGATATCGAACGAGCTAATGTGAACGATAATTATTCAAACGTAGTGGGAGATTGACAGCTTTTGTAATAGCATCATCGTAAATAATTCAACAATTTTATTATCTAATTATATCATATTTCAAAATATTAGGGAAAAAAAGAGTCCGTAAAATCCGCTAATCGTCAAGAAAATATAATAGCAAACAATTGGTCAATTACTTATAATCAATTTTTCATGACAACTTTACTATCTAGGTATAATAGGATAATTCGTATATTTAAGTTGGCAACAAAGTTTTACCTCGCATCAGTATAATATGCAACAGAAATAGATTGAATAAGTTTCTTTGCTATTGAATCTATGTAAAAACGAAAAGTGGCGTATGTTAATATTTTGTCTTTATAAATCGTTAAATTTTATTATTACTTATTCTATACTGATGGACTGCACAATATTTAAAACTAATTTAACTTTGTTTCCTTTATAATTAAACGGAAAAAAAGATTAGTGTTATTGTGCTAAAGAGTTAAACAGTGTAATCTTACATAAAATATGAATTTTGGATTCGATGCTTCAAAAACTCAAGGCAATGCAACAACCACGACGAATATGGCTACACCAACAAGTATATAACACATATATATTAGCCTTTCATATTGTGAATAATTATTATATATTAAAAGAAAAAAAACTCGATCATAGTTTTAACACAATATTACGAAAAATAACTTCAAATATTTATTGTTAACGACTCTAAAAACATTTTTAGGTTTCACATTCGGCGTTACTGGAGCTGGAGATGCAGGTAAACAAATGACACCTGGGTTAACGATTACATCCGTACCAAATAAACCTGGAAATCTTTTCGGATCTGGAATAACTACTCCAGGCCAAAGTACAGGTTTTACGTTTGGCACTACATCAAGCACTTCTGCGCCTACTATAGGAGCAACATATGGTAGTATTATAACGAATAATCCGACTACGGGATTTGGAGGATTTGGTGCAGCCACATTGGCTATTTCTACGGCAAATGCTAGTACTCCTGCTACTGTTGCATCTACAGGATTTACTACACAGGCACAGGCGTCTACAGTACTTACAGGTAGCGAAAATGTGCAAACGTCTGCAGCGACTGGTCTAACTTTTGGAACATTAAGTTCTGCAACCCCTAGTATTACTGGATTTAATATTGGTGGCACCACGACTACCGTTACAACCACTACCACACCTACTTTTACTTTTGGAGGTGCAACTACAACAACACCTACTGTAACAGCATTTTTACAAGATGCAACAAAAACGTCTACGATACAAACAGGATTTACGCTCACACCATTCACTACTGCAGGATTTGGAATAACTAATACATCTGCCACTACCACAGCTGCAGGATTTTCTCTAGGTACAACTACAACAACTTCAGCTGTACCTATCTTTACATTTGGTACAACTGCATCTAGTACTACTGGTTTTATGCTAAACAAAACAACATCTGTTACTGCGTCTTCAAACATTGCAACTGTCACTACTCATACCACTTTAGGAACTACAACTACGTAAATAAATACATGTGTCATGCTATAAAATTATAAAAATAGGTATATTAATATAAATGAGTATTATTTGCTATCTTTTTTAGAGTCAGTTCCTCTGCTAATGCTGTACAGCCAGGAGGTATTAATTTTTGTCAACTTGAGGAGTCCATTAACAAATGGACTTTAGAATTGGAGGAACAAGAAAAAGTATTTGTAAATCAGGCAACACAAGTTAATGTGTGGGACAAATTACTTATAAATAATGGAGAAAAAATAGTAACTTTGAATCAGGAAGTGGAAAGAGTTAAACTTGAACAACAACAATTAAAACATGAATTAGACTATGTTGTATGTATTAATATCTTGCTAATTGTATAAATTATTGTAATATGAGAAATTAATTAAAAGTCTATTTTGATTTGTTAGGTTGGTCAGCAAAAAGAATTACAAGATTGTTTAGTACCACTTGAAAAAGAATTGGCATCATTATCTGTCTCAGATCCAGAAAGAGAATACACTTATCGTCTGGCAGAGAGTATTGATACTCAATTAAAACAGATGTCGGAAGATTTAAAAGAAATAATAGAACATCTGAACGAAGCCAATCGAATCCAAGATTCTAGTGATCCAATTGTACAGATTAGCAAGATTTTAAATGCACATATGAACAGTTTACAATGGCTTGATCAAAGAACAGCTCTTCTAACTCAAAAAATACAACAGATCGATCAAATGCACCAAAACTTTAGACAAGAAAACGAACGAAGTTTCAATTTAGCTTACAATTAATTCTAGCAAAAGTTTTTCTACATGTCTATGATTAATTTCTAAAACACAAAAACAATCATATCTTATATATTTTTGAAAAAGATTGAGAGAAAAAACTTGATCTAAAAAAAGGAAAATAAATATGCTTTTTATTTCATACTTTATAATTTAATTAATCAATTTTTTTGTTATACTGCAATTGCAGGAACAAAGTAGCGAACTTTCAAATACCCTGCTAAATCTAAAAATAAATTAACTATCCTATTTTCTATTATATTACACCTTACAGAATTGGGATGAACTATATCCCAAGCTAAAAAGGTTAACAATTTTTTGACATCTATCGTAGCAGATATTACTCTGTCTTCTTGGCTAGAAGACCAAACTTGTAATCCTTGAAAGTTTGCCGATACATTTGCACTATCGGTTTCTACTTTCAAAATGAACATTCCAGTATTATCTGCTGTTAATGTTAAATGTGGACTCATATTTTTCATTCTTTCCACAATATGGCGCAAATTTCGAAGTAGTGGCATGTCTACGGATATCTGAAATAATAAGATAATTGTTTAATAGAAAGATTTATTTCTAAGTGTAAAAAGAAACTTACATCAAATTCTGATATATTAGGAACTTTATAAGTGGTCCATTCTTTTCGTGGCACAACTCTTACTGGTACATCGTGAACGCATTGTCGTGATTCTACGGTTGAAGAAGATAATTCCATTTCAAACGTGAGACAAGGTTGAAGTTTGTTGGTTAATTTTATTTTGACACTCTTCGAATTTAGACGAAGAGAACTCAAACTCCTAGCAAGCATCGCCGCCTCACATTCTAAATAAATTTCATTCTGCTGTTCGGAAACACCACTCATGATATATTCGGTAAAAAAATGACTCTGAGATAATTCTGCCCACAGAACAGGTATACTATCACAACCGATATTGAAAGAAATTTCTTCCGTAGTTATTCGTAAGACGCATTGTTTTGCTATCTTTGAAATAATGGTGACAATATCTGAAAGAAAAAATTAATATTATATAGTCAGATATTTTTTGAAAAACGTTACTTCAGATCATCATTCTTATCAAATTTCAACATCGCTTTATTTTTAAACATTTACTGAATTCAAATTATTCGTATAGCTTTATTATTTACAATTTTTGGCATTGTTTACAATCAGAAGTTTATTTAACGAATAATTAACACTTTAACATATATTTACAAAATCAAAAATAAGGTTAGAAAGATGCTTACTAGTAAAATCTCGCATAGCTATAGCGTCTATCATTCTGCATCTAAATTTCATCTTTTTAAGCAGTAAAATTTTATGTTCTATTAAAATTTGTTAATAACATATAATAAATAAAGAAAGATTGTTTACATGTTCTTGTCAATATGTCAACCACGAAGATGTCAACATACGGAATGCAACGCACTTACAATATTATCTTAAGTGTGTGTATTGTTTATTCAATACATATACACAAATATTTGTGTTTATGTATATACAATCATAATAGTCTATTTATTTTAGCTATATTTTTAGTTATAACAGAATTCAAATAAATAGTTGAGCTGAAACACTTTCGAAATATTTTTAAATGGATCATTACTACCGCTTCGTTTTCATGAAATCCTATTTGTCGTAATTGAAATCTTATTGGATGATACAGTTAACACAATGTTGTCTTAAATAAAACAAATATTACATTTAAAATGATTCATATATATTCTGATACAAATTTATTATAAGATGTTTACTTTTTACAGGTATAAATTACATTATTTGCATAAACAACATTTTCACATAGATCACTATCAGTAAGTAGAACTAACGTGTACAAAATAATGTAAATTTATGTGAGCCTCATAACTATATCCATAGTAAGCAAAGATTATCATTGCACAAAACAATGTAACATGTCGATCGATTAACGAAAAGAGCGAATGGAATGACGACAGTGGTGTTGTTATCGTTGTTTATCTATATCAATGACTATACAATTTCTTTCTCTTCAAATATGAAAAGTTTTCTAACAGTGAACAATATTTGTATTGTATAAAACGTCAAAGTTACACGTTTTTATTATATAAGGAATATATTGTGATATATATATTCCCCTAATAGTATTGTATATTTTATTGCTATACAAAAAAAAGAGAAAGAAATAAGGTGTGGGAGAGAGGAAGAAAGAGAAAGAGAAAGAGAGAGAGTGAGAGAGAGAGAGAGAGACGTGTAGAAATAGAGTAAGGAAAAAAATTCAAGTTAATAGATGTGTAGGAGAAAAGAAAAGAAAGAAATGGAGAAAAAGATATAGGTAGAAATGGAGATTTTTTGAATCCCTGTGCCGAAGATTGTTTGTCTTTTTACCGATTTTAAGTGATACGCCTAAAGGAGCATATTAATTAAGCAAATAAACTGTGATCCATCATCGAGACGTGGAAGTCGGTGGTGGAAGAACTGCTGGATAGGAGGACGACCGGAGGAGCAGGTCGATGAGGAAGAGGAAGAGGAAGAGGAGCAAGAGGAAAAAGAGGAAGTAACGCAATGGAGAATAGCGAAAAAGTGCGTGTTGTAGAGAACATTGATGGCGAAGCCGCGTCGTCCAGCGATAATTCCGAGAGAGAAGCAAATTCGACGCGTTCTGAAAAGGAACATCGCGTATCACCTTCGGAAGAGAATCCTTCTATTACCCCCACAGATGAAAGTCATACTTCAACCTCAGCAGACGAGTCGACTGCAACATCCGAAGATGATTACGGCTGTGAGCACTATAAACGGAAATCGAAGTTTGTGGTAATGTCTTTTTAGAATGTCCTTTTGTATTTTTATACTGGATATCGTGTTTTGTGAAATGTATTGATTTTTAATAATCTTTCAATTATATATGTATCTCATAATTTAGCATTAATATATTTCTACATATACGTATATAAAGTAATTAATTAAGTTTAATAGAAAAAAAATTAAAAAAGAATTATATATTTTGTTTTTACAAATAAATTAGTTTCGTAACCTGTCATTTTATTCTTATAGACACCTTGCTGCAATAAGGTTTATACATGCCGGTTTTGTCATGATGAACAAGAAACACATACTGTGAATAGAAAAGAAGTAACAGAATTAATATGTGTTCTATGCGATACTCGTCAGCCTGTACAGGCTATGTGTCAAAACTGTCATTGCCATTTTGGAAAATATACCTGTTTAGAATGCAATCTTTTCGATGATGAAGATAAGAATCAATACCACTGCGATGGTTGTGGAATATGCAGAGTTGGCGGACGGGATAGATTTTTTCATTGTGCCAAGTGCAATATGTGTCTCCCTATTCAGCTACAAAATGGTCATACGGTATATATTTCAATACTTATGTTTTATATATGCTACAGTCAAAGTTGAGAATCCAAGCATTCTTAACAATGCCTAGAGGATTTTGGTAAATTTAAAATATATGCTTAATTTGCTGTGTCTAGAGCATGGGAGGGGGAAGACGAAGTGATCTTAAGAGAAAGAGCAGCTAAACTCTTAACAGAAACCAAGCATTTTTTCACTGTGTCTTTTTCTATATTACCTAGTATGGAAAGTGACTGTACAAACATACACCTTTTGTGGTTTGTTTCACTTACAAGAGTTTAAGATCACTTCGCTTCCCCATATGTATATCTATCTAGATATTGATACAATTTGTTTTAATTATTTTCTTCGATCTAATAATATAAATGTTATTTTGATTGCAGTGTGTGGAAAATGTATCACATGCAAACTGTCCCGTTTGTTTAGAGGATATTCACACAAGTCGGATTCCTTGCCATATCCCAGGTTGTGGGCATTTGCTTCATCGGACTTGTTTTGAGGAATTGTTACATTTTGGTCATTATGCGTGTCCTACGTGTCAGGTATCTCTTTTAGATATGACAGACCTATGGAGATTTCTTGATATGGAAGTATCTTTAACACCAATGCCAGAAGAATATAGGGATTATAAGGCAGATATTTTATGTAAAGATTGTCACGAGGTATGTAATAATATTTATTGTGTTTGGAATATATGTATCTTATAATGTCTACTATTATATGATATCTTCATATGCCCATTTTGAAATATCAAATATTATGTTGACTGCCTTATGCCAAAGACAAAATTTATTTTCAAGCTTTTATTATACACACTTTCAACAACATTAACAAATTTTTCCATTACAAATCGTAACAAAATGGAAGTGCCACAGTTCGGCAAAGCGAACCTCATATTCAGAAATAGTATTCTGCAAGTCTTAAAATCTTTCAATTTTCGAATTGATATGGTTAACAATTCATTGTATGCTTTAAGGCATATGCTATAAACTTGTCATGGCAATAATTCAAATAAGAAAATAATAAACTTATATTAAACAAACTTTATGAAATTGCAATTGTATTGGAATCTAAAGAAACAATTATTACACGCGTGATACACACACTTGTGAGACACACTGCTTTTCAATAATCATTCTTGCTAAATGAATTTTCTTTTTGCCAAACTTATGAATACATACTCATACCTCTGGCATATAATTAAAGAGTAATTCAACGCTCATTTATGAATCAAGTTTAAAGTATAATATCGTTGTTATGCAACATATATATTGGATATTTTTACAAAAAATCAAGAGGAAATATAGACATTTAATACATATCTTAACTCATTTGCACATTCCTGACTGTAGCATAAAAGGAATGATATTATTACTACATTCACACAAATGTTGTTTTAGGAATCTACTGTGAAATATCATGTTGTTGGATTAAAATGTTTGAATTGTGGTAGTTATAATACCTGCAGAGTCAAGGGATCTCCTTCGCCTGGTAAAATATTAAATTTTTTATTTTTTGATGAAAAATTTAATAATGGTAATGTAATATTTTTGTCTTTAGATGATAATGCTTTAGACGAGGCAGCTGGTGGTAGCAGTACAGGTGACATGGAACAATCTCAGAGATAGAGTTTTAAGTATTAAAGGATAAATTTATTAATTTACAATAGAATGCGGAACAGAATTAATGAGAATACTTTGGAACGCAATTTGGATCAATGTTTCCACAACGTATTTTTTAATATATTCCATTATTTGTGCTGTTTAATGATATTTTGAGATTACTGTTTTTAATATAAAATTCTAACAAGGGGAGACCGGAGTGCAAGAGGCTTAGATTTTTTCAAACTTTGCGCACTTGTAGTAGTCCTTGAAAATATACATTATACTTTAAAAAAGAACGAAATCTCCAACCGTTTGCGAAAAAACGGGGGTAGAAATTTCGCAAAAATTCTTATATTCACTTTTTTTTTCTTCGGTAGCGTAATAGGTAGCAACGCGGTCCCATGTGTCTCTTATGTCACCGGATCGATTCCTCGACAGGGAAAATTATTCTTTTCCTTGATTTTTTTTTATCTTTTTATTTCTTATTTCCAATATTGTAAAGTATGTTAATTTAGGTTAACTTTTTTTTTTTAGAAAAAAGAAATAAGTGAATATAAGAATTTTTGTGAAATTTCTACCCCCGTTTTTTCGCAAACGGTTAGAGATCTCGTTATTTTTAAATGTACAATGTGTATTTTCAAGGACTACTACAAGTGCGCAAAGTTTGAAAAAATCTCTCTGCCTCTCGCATTCTGGCCTCCCCTTGTAAATAGATAATGACCATTAATTGTTAAAAATCTTAGTTAAAAAATATATTTGCTGTACATTTATATGTGCATGTTTAAAATTTAGAACATAGTAGGTATATTAACACGTTAACTGCTGCGTCAGAAAATTCTGATCAGGCTGCGTTATCCGTATTCGGGTGATGCTTATTTGAGCACTTACAAGGTAAGTTAGTAGGTATTTGGAAAGATATTTCACAGGATATAATTTCACACAATAAATTCACAATTAGTTCGAGTCCATTTATGCATCCGTGAAGATGGGGTTAACTCAGATTTATTTAATTTTTGTTCAGCATATCTATTTGTTTCTAATAATACAAGCAAGTCTATTATTTCGTCATCAACAAACAAAGTAAACACATCGTAGGGATTGATATTGCTAGGTAATTTTTTAATAAGATTGCCTGTTTCAGTAAAAGAAAATGATTGTTGCCGACAACTAAATTCGTTCCATTTTCTAAGCTGAATTGCATGTACTTTTTTTAGTATCCACTGTTCTTTCTTCCTCAAGAACCAATTTTTGTAAAATATGATCAATAATATCTATGTCACATTTACTATTACTGCATTTATTAATATCCGAATCAAAATCTGACTATGTAATTAAACAATAGACCCAATATGTTTACACACCTATATAGAGTAAGTTTCAATCTTAAAAGTGCACCATGGTATAACAGTGCACATGGCTTGACAGAAATTTTCTTATAAACTCGCGTGGCAGTTAACGTGTTAATTAGTTCAATTTAAAAATTAGATCATATTTGAATACATCAATATTACTGAAATAAGCATCACAGCTGGAGCTTCGTAGAAGCTTATATAAGGAGCTAAGGAAAAACTAAATGCCGGTATTTACTTCTTCCTACTTGCTCTGCAATATTAATAATTTATATTTATATTCGTCAAAGAGGCAAGGTACAAATTATGATCATAGTCCGGAAAAAGTCAAAAGAAATATACCAGCATAATATACTCCAGTATTACGTATTTGAAACTGGTATGCATTAAGCATAATAATTGTTTATGGCTTGTTACTTTTTAATTTCATATACGTTAGACTGGAGATAATATAACAGATCTTGTTACTTTTAAGTTGAATGTACATTAGACCGAAAGTAATATATAATTTGTTTTTATAATACTTTTCTTAGATAGCAAAATTATTAATAATATAAATCGTAGGGCATTATTGATTCTTGAAATTGATAAATTTACGTAACTGGCACTAAGAACATCTCTAATATAGATAAGTGTACTAAGGAATTTTTGATCATTACATTCAAATATTTTAATAATGTTCTAACATTTTTTTAAATGTTCTTTTCAAGATAAAGTTTATAATATACTCTTTTAATATGCAGCAACAAGAGATATTTTAAAGCATATTCTGCATGGGAAGAAATAAAATTGGACAAATAATACATTTTTTAATTCACTTTTTTATCTCTCCATAGAATTTTTTCTTGAATTTTATATCGTGCATTTACTTATTTGTTATAAAACTTGTTCACAGTGCTTGGAGTAATTATTTTGTATATTTGAATATAAGTAAGATTAAAATAATTAAATTAACAAAATTACATCATCTTTCAAATACTCCAAAATTGCATAATAAAGTTGAGTCATAGCTGATTATTAGAAACTGATATGGTATTTCATGATTTGATGGAAATTCATTATAAAATTTTAACATGTCTTTACCTAACGTGTTTTTATGAAATTAACAACTATGTATATATATATTGAAAGTATTAATTTCTGTTGTTCGATGGTACGAACCAGTGCAATTATATTTCTGCATCAAAAATATTAAACTAGATGTCCATGTGAAGATAAATAATGACCCATCGAAAGCTAATTATATATGTACATATGTACACCTTCATATGTAGTAGTTTTAATTTCATTCAACATTTGTGCTCATACGGACGTAGTTTGACACATTTTATTCGTATCTAGTTTAACTATATATTGTATATTTCAATGTAGCACAGAATGTCGTATGGCATTTATAGATCAGGTACACTTTAGTCGTATTATATCAGTCAGCAAAAATTATGTGGTGGTTCATGTATATCATATTTCTTCGACTCACTCATATCAAATAACTTAAAATAATACTTTTACTACGTTAAATACCGCATATAGCAATTGAATATCTTCGAATTAGAGCGAATATTAAACAGCACCAGATTTCAACTTAATAAGATACATAGAATAGTTTGTTATTTGAGTTTTACTCATTATATGGTAAAACAAACTTCTTTTGTTTCTACCGTTTTTCCATTCCAATTCATTCCAAGGCACGCCGTTAAAGAAAATATGTGGCACATTATAAATTTAGGATTTAGAATTTAGAATTTTGGTGTATCACATAGTCATATTTCACATCTATTATGGCACCTTCCACAAGGCTTCTCGTTGTGGTTTTATATAGCCAAAGTAAAACACACAAGTTTTGTGTAACTATCGTTATGTTTTTATTATTCAATTGTAAATTAAATATCAATTACAAAGGCTCTTTGTACATAACGGGCGCAATATTATGCTTTTGTTTTATATAATATAGTATATCAAATAAATTGATCATTATTCAATTTTACCTCATTCAAGAGAAAGAAAGAAAACTCTACACCATACTTTTTCTTTTCATTTTTGAAAGTTAAGATTTTTTTCATTGAAAAATGCTTCTTAAACGATAATTATGGAGAGGGTTTGTTTTTGGTTGCCGTTAATGACGTTTCGTTACGTTTGTCGAAGAAAGTAAAATAGAACCGAAACATTTTATTGTACATGATTTTCTTCCTTTAATTTACTCTTTTCTATATTCAAGGAAAAAAGACAACCAAAAATAAACCCTGCAAGTAACTGTATTGTATTCATTTACTTTATTTCATTTACTTTGTTTTTTAATCGAAATAACATTTTCTCACTTTACAATTTGCTTTTTTTTTTACAAAAAAAAAAGTATCATCCTGTGTAATTTTTTCTTTTTTGTTCCTATCTATTAAATAATATATCTTTCTCAAAACGCAATATAAAAAATAAAAATGTTGATATGGCGTGACCTTTTCTCTTTTCTCTTGTTGCAGCTTTTTTACTTTTATTATACTTTTCTTCATTTAAATCGATACACACGACAATTATGGCAGAATTCCTTAAACGGAAATGCCAAATTAGTTTAACTCCGACTAGTTTTACGTAATGATTTATTTTGTTTAACTTTTATTTCTTTTTTGTACCAAAATTACAAATAAGCTCTCTATGCTCGTTATTTCCAGCTTCCAATCCTTCAAAGACATCCCATGAAAGACTCATTAGGACTTTAGAAATTTAGAGACCGAGGACGTAATGGTAGAAAGCCGTGATTGCTAAGAAATCGTCGTGCCGCGCGTGTCATTTCGAGTTGATCGCGTGTACGACCACAAGCAACCGCAGCCCACTGTGTTTCCAGATGCAACTGAAAACAAAACAAATAATATAGAATAAATATTCTTCAACACTGAATAATTAATCCGCTTAAATCGACCATTAAACAATGATCTAGAAACGTATTTTCCAATTAAGAATCTACATTGAAGTGTTATAATAGAATCCTAGATGAAAATACAGTGTAAAATATGAAAATATTTATTGTTGTTATTTAAATATTCTTTTTCTTTACTCAATTGGAATTATATTAAAAAGGAAATGAAGTTTCTGGATCATTTTATCTAATTGATGGTATATAAGAACGTAGAAGATGAAGAAATGGAGAAACTCACCTTGGCACGTTTGACCGGCCTCAGAGGTAGAGGGCTGAGGATACAAGGGCTGTCGAGGGCATCGAACGTGATTGCTCTCTTGGCATTGGGCTTCCGCTGAACGGACAACAAGTCGTGGGAAGTCTGGAAAGGATAGACACACTAGCTACAGCCGGCAATCGAGAAATGAAATTAGAAAATGCGCCTATGTAGAAGATATTACTTTAAAAACGAAATAAAAAAAAAAGATATTATTCTATTAGTATTAAATAAAAGTTTATAAATAAAGGAAAGCTGAAATAGACAGAAAGATTTTTTAAATTAATCTAGAACACGCTCGTTCAACAAATCTCTTTGTTCATTATGATTGTGTTACGAAATTTTCAAACTCCTTTCTTTTCCTTTTATTCGCATGCTTGTTACTCGTTGTAATAAATATTATATCGCGATTGGTACGATGACTAGGCCCTGTGATTTTTTTCTTTCTAAATTTATGAGTTTGAGTCATTTAATTCGTCTTATACGTATTTTGTAGATTATATCATGACGTAGCCGCATACAAATATTGGATTATTCTTTGCATGATGGATCATTAAGGACAGGACTGAGGTACTTTAGTACGCTAGGCCAGGCCTGTATAATAATATATAAAAGGTTATTCTTTTAAAAGTTAGTACAAACATGCGGCGAATTAACCTATTACTAATAATATACATATAAATATATATTTATAAAAAAAAAATCGAAATATATAAATATATATTAAATAAATATATATAGGAATACTATGCATATTCATCGCACAGAAAACTTTGGATATCGCTGTTTAGAAACAAAAAAGTTGATCTAATTTTTGCAACGATTTTACGATTCTCGAAGTATATTTCGAGAACTATTTCTTTTTAAATAAAAAATTTATCGAAGATAACAATTAATTTTTATACAATTACGAATCCGTCACTCCTTCTTTTTTCTTTGAATGCTAAACCAACATTTCAATAATGAACATAATAAAACAAGAAATTAAACGAGCGAAGCAAAGGTCGACAATGATCTACATTGAAAGAAACGATAGCGTCTAATATTTAAAATAAAGAAGGAATATCACTACATTTATAAATATATTTTTAATTTAATAATTTAATTTATATATATATGTATGTTTTTTTTTTATTTATATAATATATCTTTTTTGCTTTATATGTTTTAGCAAGACCACATTGTATTTAAACAGTTGTCTACATAATCAAATAAGGTCAACATTTTATTTTTCCTGTTCTCCCATTCTTTACAGGTACAAATTAAAAAAAATAACTTTATCAATAATTAACAAAGACAAAAGCGATCGCATATTATTAGAAATAAATTAATATAAATAAAACGTACGACTTGAACGTTACTCCGTGTTAATCATTTTGTTATTTTTATATTTAAAATAAAGTTAACAAGACACTAATAATCTTTGGATTGGACGATGTTAAGTGGCGCACAAGAAAAAAGAATTAAAAACAACTTAAATAAAGCGCGCGTGAAGAAGCACAAAAAGACCACCGATTTCTTTCATTGATTTTCTCGTTAAATAATAATGTAATAACGAAAGAAAAAAAAACGATTAGCATTAAATATATAAGAAAAAAAGAGGTAAAAAGATGATAGACAATAGAGAGATAAATAAAAATAAAAAGAAAGAGAGACGAAATGTTAAAATATGAAAAATTAAGAAGGCCGGCTAGCGTGTCTAAAGGCGATTGGTGCGGGAATAGTACCAAGATAGAGGTGATTGAGTTTGGATTTGATTTTGATTTTGGATTCGGTGCTCTACCTTTATGGGACTTTGACCTGCTGTTAAGAAACTATCTTCTAACGCCATGGACGCTGGCGAGAACAACACTGAAGTGTCCAAACTTTTGCTCTAGAAAATAATAAAGAAAAACATAAAGCTTATGATTAATGATGTTTCACTTCAATCCATAAAATGAAATTACTTTTTAAATAAATCTTACCGGAGTTTCAACGACAAAACTTATATCTCCGTTGTCAGATGGAACATTTCCTCCCCAAGCCTGACAGAGAGCTTTGCGTGCTCTTTTTCCACCAGGTGCACTGTTCTCTTTACCTCGCCGTCTTGTAGTAGTGCAATATCCAGAATCTTGGAGAATAATATGACTGGTACTCGCCATACTCTCCCGATCAGTTTCTTGTTTAATAATTTCAGTCAAAGCATCTAAACGGCTAGGAGTAGCAGGTAACTGAGTAGTTGCGCCACTTCGTCGTTCAAGTTCAGCCAGAGCGTTTTTGAATGGAGTTGGCGTTCTAGGAGTATTGCTATCTGAACATTTCAAAGGAAACACATTGAATTTGACTGTTGATTAAATGATATATTTTATTATAATTTATTCTTCGATTGAAATAACCTACCGTTTTGATTTCGTCGCAAACCCGTAGGCTGTGGCGTCGTAAGTGGTCCAGGACTGTCAGATTTTGGAGTACTTGCACAAGGCCAGGCAGACGTTTCAGGACTTAGACTATTTAAGAATTGAGAAGGACTGAATGGAAGTTGTTTTATGGGAGTAGATGGCGTAGTATTGCCATTATGCGTTTGTTGACCAGTTATTATGAAATAATCCGATTGATTCCCACTGTCCGAAGTGTCCGTTCTTTGTGTAACCAAGTGAATATTCCGACGTCTACGCAAAATCGGTGGAGGACTGCTTTTCTCTCTTTCAGTAAGGTGTGTCGAGGTTTCTTCCAAGTCGGGCATTGGAAGTAATCTTATCTCAGTGTTCCTTGAATCCACAGTTTCGTTCTGTAGATCCATACTGAAATATCTATGGGGGAATGATAAACCTAATAAGAAATAATTTCGAGAGAAATAGATGCATCAATATTTGTTCGTACTTCGTAAATGGCGAAATATCTTCCGTTTTCACTCTCGAAGATGCATCTGTTCGTCTAGAAAAAGATTCGATTTCTCTTTCTTTCGTATTACTCCGTTCAGATTCTGGCACAGGATGAATATACGGATGCCCATTGTTTTGTTGTTCCCACGTACTGGTCCAATCCAAAGTTTCCATTTTTATCGATTGAGTAGCGTTACTGGATGATATAGGTAAACCATTATCGTTACTCGTCGACGCAGATTTCGTTCGAACATTATTTATGTTTATTTCTTCGTCCACCGAAAGATCCTTTCGCATCGTTATAGTTTCCGATGCTTTCCTCCTACCCCTTCCTATAAAGGTGCATACTATATGGAATCATTTTTAATTTGTATATTTTATATTAATTTTAATAAAAGTCAATGATATTAATATTTCGAATATATACCTCGCGTACCAATGGTGCACCTTCCTTCTTCAGCTTCATACTTCCTTCTCATTGTACTATTCCAGTGATTCTTAATAGCATTATCAGTTCTCCCAGGCAAAAGTTTGGCAATCTTAGCCCACTGATTGCCTACTCTACGATGAGCTTCAACGATTATTTTATCCTCTGCCTCGGTCCATGCGGTTTTTTTAATTCCTGGATTCAAATGATTGTGCCATCTTTCACGACACTGTTTGCCGATGCGGCCCTTTAAATGTCGTGCGATAAGGGTCCACTTTTTAGGGCCGTATTTTTCCACTAGCTCAACAACTTTTTCATCTTCCTAGAAGAAAAAGACAAAAACTATTAAGAAATGAGAAAGGTTACAAGAGAAAAAGTATCTTCGAGGAAAAGAAAATCAAGATGAACGTAATTAACCGGTTGAAGAACAGTTGAGAAAAATTCAAAAGAGAGAAAGAAAAGGACAATAAGAGGAAAAAATTGTGATTGAGATACATGATATTATAAATATGAAGGAAGAGTAAGAGAATAGACGAAAGAGAACTTGACGTTATCTAATATAAGGTTTTTATCCATTTAACGCTCGGTGATGTGATATCACGTTCATCGATATTGTTCAGTAATAAGTAATTAATTAAAATCTTCTTTATTATTAACATGGTTGCTATTGAAAATAAAAACTAAAATTTGCAGAACTTTTTTCTTTCGATTTTTGTTGCAGAAAGAAAAAACAATAAAAAGAGAAAAAAAACAACAATGTAGTAAAGTCTGAGTGCCAATGCAAGATTCAACCATGGAGAAAGAGCTTTGTAAGGGCCGGGAAGAAGGAAAGGTAGATGAAGCGAGGAATGAACAGGAGAGAGAACATAATCGTTCATAAATCTAGGCAACATTATGCTCGATGTAATATACTACAACATCGTAATGAGATTCAACGGTACAATTATTCATCTTATTTTATTTCTATATGGTAGATCAATAGATACAATAACTTAATTAATGATATTTGATCTTCGTAAGGTTATTAAAATGATAAACTGTATTATCGACGGAGTCCTTTTGAAGTGGTTCATTCGAATTGCCCTTGGCTGTTGCCAAGTGCATTGGCACGGGACTTGACGACGACGCAACATCACCGTGACCGAAGATCTTTTTTCTTCTTGTATACCCCCCACCGAGTCTACTGGCAGAGTTCTCGCGTAGGCGGTTGGTAACTATGTATGGTGTTCGTTCGTACAGGGTTTTTCATAAATGCATGTCAATACACCAAGAGATACATCTACAGGTCACCAAAGTAATTGAAAAATGTCATATGAATATATGTTCGATATATTTTAGTTCTCGAATTATAGATGATTAAAAATCATCTTTGAAGTATACGCCATTTACTTCAACACAAGCTTCTGTACACCTTGACCTTATCTAATGTTTGTAAATAATGTTCATCGACACGAAACACAACAAATTTTATCTAGTATGTGCCTTTCTTATTCTTGTGAATAATGTTATTCGCTGTTAGTAGTGCTTCGAAATCTATAAAATGATTTTGTATACTGATACTGAAATGACAAACATATCATATCCATTTATGGATGGGCAAACGGAAATGAACTGGAAGTAGGGCAATTATACTAAGAAAACTTCTCGAAATGTAAAATTTCGAATTGCAGAATGTGTTTTCATTCATTCATTGGAATAGTTAAAGCAGAGACGAGCACTTAGAAGATTTTCTTTAATCACTTATAATTCAAAAACTAACTAATCGTAAGATATATTGAACATATATTCTTCAGACATTTTTTATTTGTTCTATAGTGTGTAGATATACCCTTGAAGTATTGATATGCATTTATAAGACACCCTGTATACGTTTTGTTACCGAGTAGAAGAGATTTTGTGCTGTACAACGAGCTCTTTTCCAGGGTGTCTCCTTATTTTTAGAAAATCTCATAAAAAGTTATTCTGTGGGGAAGACTTATCTTCGATGGTGGTCATTTTCCTTTTTCTTTTATTTTGTTTTGGGTTACTTGTAAGAAAAGCTTTGAAAAATAAAAATTTTTGAACAAATTACAACAGGGTATCAAATTGTTACTCAAATAAGTTTTGGTTCAATTGGAAGTCCTTTTCGGAAGAGTTAAATAATAGGAGTACGTTTCTTATAACAAGAAACATTGAAAAAGCTTCGAGTTAAGAGTGCCAGGTAGAAAGAGAAAAAGAGAGAGAGGAACCTGGAGGATGTTAAGGAGTCAGTCAACTATTTTTCGTCAAGAAACCGTATGTCTTAGATAAATTTGTTCTTACCTCCTTGGTCCAAGGGCCCTTTATTAATTCCGGATTTACGACCTTTGCCCATCTCTGTTGACACTGAACGTCGCTTCGTTCGGGAAAATGAGCAGCTATAGTGTCCCATCGTAAACCCTTGCCAAGTTGTTCCGCGTTACTGACCAACTGCTTTAATAAAGCGTCCTGTAACAAAACAGACAAGTTGATAGAGAATTGAAAGACTGATTGTTTAAATAAAAATTAAAATAAAATATGTTTAGAAAACATATATAGTCTTGATAATGATTTTATTTGCATAGACTTAGAAAAAATTCAGAGGAGTTCTTAAATCAACGATGATTACTGTCCATCCCTTATTCCCATCTCCTCATTCTTTTTCATGGTTATAATTCTCTCATGAAAGGTGAATGTGTACACGGGTATAGTTCACGAAAACACGATCGATTCTCGCGTGTGCTTTCCCACGGGAAACCATATGTCGTCGTGAGCACCGCTCTGCGAATCTTCACATATGTATACATATATATATATGTACATATCATGGTATATGGCGGCCGTAAGGCATTCAACAACACGAGGGCATCTGCCCCGAGGCACGATGCAACTCGTTCAAAAACGGGTGGCACTCTCAGGGGCTGGTCCTTTTTGAGGGTACGTTCCATTGTTCGACTCCTGCCGTCCTCTTTTTAATTCGCATGAGAGTTAGCGCCGTAATGATACGCCCGATGGATCCAGAATTTGGAATTGCCAGACGGATAAGAGAGAAAAAGAGAGTGAGAGAGAGAGAGATGTTCTCTTACCTCTTCCTTTGTCCAGCGACCCTTATTGATATGTTTCCCTTGGTTATGAGAGTTGACATTCGAGTTGCCAGGATTATTCTGTGACTGACTGCTGCTTGGTCGAACGATATCAGTACTAAATTCTGATTCGGAATCTTCCCCACTGCTAGAGTCGTAGCCAGATCGCGATCTACAAATTGAAGAAATTGGATAAGTTATCTGTTCTAATTATATGAATTTTTTAAAAACATTTAAAATAAAAATAAAAGGAAAGGACAGACTCGTAATAATAAAATCGATTTTTATGAATTAGCGATCTTTTCTTTAGCAGGAAATCTTATTTTACGTAATAGTTTTAAAAAACGAGTTAGTTAAAGCAAAAAAAATCAAAGTTTGTTAATCTTCTTTTTTGAAATAAAATGCTAAATAAATTTCTCTCTGTAAATATAATATATAAGAAAATTTCAGAAGGATGGGTAGAAAGATAATTTCTCGTCGTGAAACCATTGTCGTTATTCATTTCCTCCTACTCTTTAACTCCTCAATGAAAAAGTAGCTTCCAGACATCATCCCTAACCACATCCTGTCCAGTGTCAGCCTGTGCAGTCGTGTGTTCTTTCTCTCATTGTTTTTCCCCCTTTTGCACGTTCTAATGGATGCACAGGATAGGTCTTTTCGACCAACCTGATACAATTTCTTTGCGCTGATTTTGTTTCCTTCCTGTCTCCAAAATCGAATCATTTTAAAGTTGGTCACATCCAAGAAGAAATAATGTTATTGTTGGAAGAACAGACAGGAAGGAGAGACATTATCATAGAGGATGATTAATAGATAAGATAACTTTGTTAAATAGGAAGACAAAATAAAGAAAACAACGGCTGATAAGAAACGTGGACCATCTTCGCATCGCATATGTTTATGTTACACATGCGTTTACAGTATATCGTAAATGTTACTTTTGCATAATTTTTCCTCTAACTCGTTCCTCCTCGTTTGAGGAGCACACCACATGCGGGTAACAATTTTTCAAGTTTACAGCTGTTGAAAGTAAAGAAAAATAATCGAGAAAAATTGTTGAGATAATTGACAACGACGATAATGGTGTGACGGAAACTTTTTTAAATTCATAAATTTTATTGGAATTCTAACTATTTATTAAATATTCGATATAAAGTTTGTCGAACTATAAGAATGTAAAATGTTAGAGGGGCTAAGATATCATGAATGAATCTTAAATTTATTTGAAGGCAGTGAGGCGTGTCTCGGGTTACGCCTTTCAACGTTACGTAAGTAAAGAAAAATCTTTCACCTTCGTAAAACTTTAAACAGTAACTGACGATTATCCTTAAGCTTTGTTTCTCAAACGCGTGGCATGCCATAAGATTTATTCGCAATTTTTTACGTTAATTTTATGTACAGTATCCTGTGATCTAAAAGTATGAATTTGTTAATAAAATGAAAACGGTTCAATTATTCACATCGATATTTATTTTATTAATAATAATGAAAAATTCCGGATACTTTTGGATCACAAGGTATATCCTAAAAAAAATAATATGAACTGAATTTGTATTCTATAGCATATTAACATTATTTATACATATGATTAATTTCAGATATATAAAAAGAATCGAATTACGCTATTTTTTTTCATATACATACGCTCTATTACTGGATATGCTGTTTAGAATTTATTGTTTTTACTTTTTGTTTATTGACAATTAAATTTAATTCGAAAAAGAAGAATCATTGAAAAAAAAAAGAAAGTTAATTTTCAAGAACTCGAATATTAATTACTGTGATCAATTTTTATGAAAGTAATATTTGAACTTCTATTTCTAGTTTTATTGATCAAGAAAATATTTCATGATAATCTATATATTATTATATATATTCTTTTGTTTTAAGAAGTATAATTTAATAAGTTTGAAATACTTAATATGAACAGGAAAAGGAATTCTCCTGTCGTGCATATTCACGAATAAAAGCTGTTAAGTGTCCTTTATATCTTCCTGTGTTTTATATATCTTTCTTACTAACTTCCTTGCACGTGAGCTAACAAGGAAGCAGATACAATTTAATGATATATCAGTGATGGTATCATTAAATGCGCATATAGATATACATATATTTGTAGAATACAATTATTGTTAGTTATACAATATTACATATTTCCTTCGAATTCATTTCTAATTACCGAATTCAAATTAATTAATTCTCTCAATAATCCCAATTAATTCAAATATATTTAGCTTTCATTTAGTTAAGTCAGAGCATAACAAATCTTAATCTTCATGATAAGATTCCATATAAAATTAAAACAAAATTATAAATCAGCTACCTAAGATTCGTTTATGTTGCATGATTAAGAAACAATATTATGTTTCTTTTGCTAGTGATTAAGTTAAAAAAAATCGTAATTAGGTTTTCTTTGAGATTTAACAATCGGTAGCAGGTGCCTGTAAAGGAAGAAACAGCTGTCACCTAGTTTTCTCTCTCTCTTTCTCTCATCATGTCTTATCTTTAGCATTCTATTAGAATTGCTAAGTACCTTTAAAAGAATAAGGATTCCTCTTAAGAGTTATCAACTATGAGAGAGAGAGAGAGAGATGATTCAATATATATAATTTATTTGTGAAAATTCTAATATTAAATTATTAAAATAGTCACCGTTACGAAAATTTATGGTGTATTTTTAGACAATAAAGTTCAGTTAGATAAGTGGAATAATAAAACAAAGTATACTATTAAACGGATTATACTTAAGAATCTGATATGAGTTTATTTGGAACATCTAAATTTCGTTTCACGAGTTTCAAATATTAATCTAAAGTAGTAACGTTTCAATGATTATATTTAATCAATTAAAGTTCGAAACTGTTTGCAAAATATTCTCTCTATTCCATCACTAATTACGATAAGTTATACATTTCTTATACATCTTAAGGATAGGTTTGTTTATTGTAGTTGCATAAAAGAAAAGGCTAATATAGATACTGATTGATCCTTTATAAAAAATTCAGAAAAGAAACTGAGGATTGTTCTAATAGAATTAGACAAACCTGTTGTCGTCCTTGTCACCATTGTGAATATCACTTCACGATAAGTGATGACGAGCCAAATAATATATAAAAGGAAGAAAAAAGGGTATAAAAGTTACATGGCCATCCCACCCGTCAGTACATTCAATCGGGGACAAAAGGAAATGGACAGGTACTAGAAAAACACCATCGGTAAAGTTTTCTTTAATTACTGCCATTAATATGCACTTCAAATTTATTTATTATATATTCTTATGTTAATTTAGTTTTATAACTTTTTAATTAACTATTTCATATAATCTTCGTTTTATATTTTTTATCAGCACATTTAGTTCTGATGTATCTAAAACGTTTTACGATGTGTTCATTCGATTTTGATGGCATTTGCGAACAATCTTGTACAGTGATACATCGTTTTCTATCACGTCTCTCAAATATTATAAATTTATTCTATACTGTGCACTGTTTTTTTGATACACTATACTTCTTCGTTATTGTATGATAACTGATAGTTTTTTTTGGAAGCAATTGGAAACAACACATTTTGAACTTGTAATGAAATTTTACAGTCATCAATACAAGTGTTTAATTGAAACTCCGATTGATTTATTTAAAACAATTGTATGTAAGTATAACCATTGACAAATGTTTGTTTATATATGTTTAAGCTTTAAATAACATATTTACATATAATCAGATAATTTTTACATTAGAGATACAACTTATTTCTACAAAAATGTAATATTAATTTTTTAATCAAACAAAATCTATATACACAATAAGGATGTGTATAATAAATAAAACTTAAGTGCATAATAATTACAATATTTTGAGTAAACTCCAATGAGATAACTACTTCTAGTACCTGTCCATTTACTTTTATTCCTGACTATATGTACCGAAGTACATATAAATATACACACATACATAGACAAAGACTCGTTGCGTAGCAAACCACGAAACATCTGCCGAATTATCGAAAGTTTGCCCCCTTTTTTCAAATATGCTTCCTCCATTCTCCTGTTCCAAGGCACAGCAAGAAGGTTTCCCTCCCCTTTTTCTTACGACTTCGGGGGCGCCCTTCGGCATTCAGCGTCGTCTTCTTTTCTACTCAACTAGCACCTTCCTTCTCCTTCTCTTCCTTCCGCCGGCTGTCGTTCGTCACGCAACAATAAGGTCATCGTGCGAGCTACTCACACATCTTCAAGAATCTCTCTCTCTTTTTTCCTTATATCGCGAATTCGTACATAAGTAAGGGAGAGAAGGAGAGGGAGAGGGAGAGGGAGAGAGAAGGGGAATGGGAAGGAGAACGACGAGTCTGGGTAGCTTCCCCAAATTGAACAATTTTAATAATTTTAATTACATAACAATATATAAAGATATTAATTGTTGAATTATTTGTAACAACAACAACCAAAATTAGCATTTATTTTATATTATTATTTTTATATTATTATGAGATGAAGCGTTTTTTGCGAGGGCGTCAATGAAGTATAGATAGAGAGAAAGAAAAAAAAGAAAGAGAGAGAGGGGGGAAGAGAGAGAGAGAGAGAGAGAGAGAGAGAGAGAGAGAGAAAGAGAGAGAGAGAGAATTTGCTTCTGTCATCGATTTTTCTTAGTTACCAGGGAGACCAGGTGCATAAATCTAAAGAGCATTTGTTCCTATCCATGTCAGCTGCTTCCCTTACGTTTTACCCTCCTCGTTTTTCACCCTTTGTATCTTATAACTTTGAGAGAACGATATATATATACTCTTTCCAATCGTCATTTCAAAATTAATGTCTCATTTAAAGATTTTCAATAAATTTCATTGGACTTAATTATTTCATTGTCTATATTTCATCTTTATTAAATCATCAATCCTATGATTTTGAATACCACATTCGAAAATAAAAGTACAATTTTATTTTATAACCTGAATTTCTTCCTTCGTGAATCATATGCATGGAATTAAAGAGAAGCTTCTTTTTAAATGGCAGTCTCGGAAATGAGATTCTTAAATGACTGCTGCTGCTGTGTCTGCATCGACATAAAAAAAAAAGAACTCTTTGAAGGTTGTTTTGGCGGCAACTATAGTGAGCTCGTGTTAAGTGAACGTAATGACATTTAATGTGTTTGGATCAAGTAAACGGAATTATTCGTTAGATCG